CGATTCACACTTCAGCTCTCTTCGCAGTATTTCTTCCACACACTCACCTACTACTCTGCTCTCAAAGCCCAACCAACCAACCAAAGAAGCTAACTGAGGGCAGAGGCCTGCGCAAGCGCAAGCATCGTCCCTACCTAGGTGAAACCATTCCTGCGCACAAGACGCATTGCTGGAAATGGTAAACGGTCGTAATATTATCCTGTCAGGCAAGTTGTCGAAGGAATTTGGTTGGTTGGGTCTCTGGGGTATGAACCCAGAGAGGGAGGGGCCGTTTCGGCTGAAGGCCTCTGCGGCATGGGGGGGAAGATCACTTCAGCTGATGGCCTCCATGATCGGGGGGAAGGGTGTGTAAATATGGACCAACCAACCAAACCAACCAAAGAAGCTAACTGAGGGCAGAGGTCTGCGCAAGCGCAAGCATCGTCCCTACCTAGGTGAAACCATTCCTGCGCACAAGACGCATAGCTGGAAATGGTAAACGGTAGCCGATTGTCAATCGGCTCTTACACAAATACAACAATGTCTATGCAACAATGCCAATAAACAGACGAAACAATGTAAACACAACAATGCTAAACACAACAATGTCATTAAACAGTTCAACAATGCCAACCCCAACACATCACAATATTTCATATTAACTGAAAACAATACTTGGACACGAACATGATGACTTGGTATCTTACATTAGAAGCCCATAGTTTTGAGAACGAAGTCTCTTACGACATGTTTCGGTTATATGTAACCGTCCTCAGGTATAAATTAGATTGGTAAAATTTAAAACTCGAATTACAATCTTTTAAATGTTATGCAGTTTATTGAAGATGTTCTTATCAGATTACTCTTATATATTAGAATGTGAACAAGATCATTTGTGTTGCAGTAACAAAATGAGAGACGTGCAGTGAGTGTGTTATAAATCACTTATTAATTCAGCTCAGATGACATAAAATCTGTTTCAAAAAATCGGATAACAAATTTGCTTCTAACGATGGGTGATTATCTTTAACGAAGTGACGGTCAAATATAC